TTATTTTTTTCCTTTTTCCGGTCTGTTTCTACTTTATTTCTTGTTTTATTCCTTCAAGTTCCCAGTGGAATATATGGCTTCAAGCTAGAGCTTTGAAGTTTCGGTAGCAGTGGTGTTTTGTTTTTACGGGGTAAGGTTTCTAGCCTCATGTCCAACTTTTCCTATTTGCCGGTCTTATTACCAACTTAGAGTAGTGAAGGGATGCATCGATTGGAGGTCGAACACCGGACCACACGCATGGTTAGCTGGCATTCGACTGTTTGTAATGCTCTTCTATGCTTGTTGCTTTCTTATAACTCTTACAGTGAAGTTTAAGGCTAGCTGAGAACAATCAAACTAATGTGATATGCATTACTATAGTTGCAATTACCTTTCAGATTATACATTTGTGTAAAATGCACTTCCGTTCAGCTTTTACTAATGCGACTAAGATATTTCAAATGGAATTGGAAAACCAAGTAGGATGTAGGCGTTATATTTATCCATTTTAATTTGTTCAGCTTTATAGCCCATTATAAAGAGAAAAAAGGAATTTAGGAAGTATATCAATAATGGTCATGAGGAACTAGATGTAAAAAGTCATACAAAAAGTATATGAAATATACCATATACAATAAATTAACTCAGGCAAATTCTACGTCCCCTTCCTATACATGCAAGATTTATTGAAAAGGTTTTCACTATTCTTTAAAATTTAACAACCCAGTTTAAGTTGTTTTTAATGACAGAGCGGTGAAAGGTAATTTCTTCTTGATGTATCGTTAGAAAATGGCTACTTTATCTCACTGAATGACACATTAGTTGATAAAAAATTCATCGAAGCATACTTATAATAAAACTCATCGATGAACATTTCAACTGGGGCTGTAAACAAAATACAACAACTTCAACCTTTAAGATAGTAGAAATTAGGGTGAAATATTCTAAGACTCTTATGAGCACACACTGTTATTAGGTTGTTATTTCTGTTTACACTTCTGACTCTGCGCAGAAATGCAGTAGTTCAAGTTGCTGCATTCCATGTAGCGTACAAAGGTAGAGAAAAGAGGTTCAAAAGAACTATGAGGAACAGAAATTTTGGGGGAAGAAGAATAGTAACAGGTAAAAATATGGAAACTAAACGGATCTCGGATATTACAACGAGTAAATGAATCTGCGCCATTCAGAACGATTTTTAGCCGCACCACCCACAGTCTCCAGCCACTGGTTCGTAGCATTCCAAGAACCTTAACCAGGCAGTCTACACTTCCCTACGCAGATGGCTCAGACTAACTGTCAAAGACTTCATAGACTGTTTCCAAGTTTTAGTCTGACTAATTCTCACTATTTTCCAACTCTTGTCAGTCAACGCTGCTAGTTGAAGAAGGTGGCTGCTCGGTATGCACAACATTCAGCTCAGATTAAGCCCTTCTAAAAACCTTTTATCAAAATAAACGAAAGTTTTCATCAATTCTTTCGCCACAGTTTTCTAAGTCATATACCTAAAAAGATATTTCAATACATTTTGCACGATTATGAGTTACCTGTTTTAATAACTCTTGTCTGTTTTACTGTGTTTTTAAAAATACAAAAAGTGGCGATGAATATGCATAAAAATATTTGCTTACAGATTGTGATCGAAATAGCCAAGGAAATGGAGCTTTTAGACCTTATACTATGGGAAAAAACTGTTTGGATGGTGAATATAGTTAAGACAAATGCAATGGTGTTCGCTCCGACAGAGTTACAACTAATAACTATTTTATTCTTTCACTTACAAATAAACTTAGTGTAATATATTCTTTTTCAAACGGAGGCTTAAGCAGATATTCATTTTCACCTGTGACCTGGTGACTAATGAATATCCTCTTCACAACCAGTGAGTAGGGGAAAACATTAGAAAGATATTCTGTAGTAGTCATGGATGACTCAGCAATGCACGGTATTTGTTATGTGATAGTTGGAACTTCAAACTGTTAGGTTTCATGGGCGCTACAGAGTCATTCAGTCGTTGAATCAAGTTTGGTAATTCACAGGTCTCAAATGATGTAAATTGCGTGTCTATTTATTACAGTTACATAACTGTGGACACCATTCGAATGATTTTTTATTCAAATAGCCATTCAATTTTAATCTGGACCAAACAACTACACAGCTGAAAATTATTTTTCCAGTCCCTAGTCATGGTGTGCCAAGAGATCTCACTAGCTTTTCTAGCTTCCTATGATACTAATGATCCGGATTAAATCTCATATTATTGTGGTATAAATTTTAGAAAATTCTGACTTTACTAATACTAATAATTCCCTTGGTTGGTAGGTGCAACAAATTAATGAATAGGAGAGCAATTTTTGCAGAGGAGACCGCCCGCTCATAATATTTTTCCTCTTGAAATCCTGCCATCAAAATATTTATTTAAGTTCCTAAGATGTGTAGCATATAGTCAGTTACCTGTGAACCAAATTATGTTTACATGTCCTCTTCATAATTATTTGATTGTAAACTTTTTAAATTTAGTATATGGGCAACAGAAGTGACATGAGTGCTACTTGCCAAACACAAGACAGATACAAGGCAAACGTATTGCTAAGTTTCTTAACGAGCAAAAATCTAGAAATTTTCCAGTATTCATGACAGAAAATAGATTGCCTGTATAGGAACCCAAAATGCAACTAAGGTGACGCATAATCTAAAAGAAGAGATACTGATAAAAAAAATTACCAAAACTCTTTTTATCAGTCACTTTTTAATCTTATATTTTAATTTTCAAGAGTTGTTTTGTCAGGACTAGATTCGCTTTTTACTGCAAAACATGAGACAAACTGTGTTTAATAAGTGCCATACACTTTTGCTTAAGTCTTCATGAGTTACTTTCTAGTGTTTAATAAGTCACTGTGTGTGCGATGGTATAGCAAACAAATCAAGTTGCAAAGCAACATTTCCTAGAAGAAAGAAAATTTGGGAGGGAGAAGACTGATATAGCATGCTTCAAAGGAGAAATTGTGAAAGACAAGGAATTTGTAATTTCATAACACTAAAAGATCCATCATGTTACTATAACAACAGGTTTTTTGTGTGGCATAAATACAGAGGATGTTTATGGGGAAAATCTATGGACACTTATTACAAATAGGTCTTAACAATCTGTCAAGCTGGTCAAAAGAATGGCTGCCCATCAACAAAGTGAAATGTGTATCCATATGCGTTACTCATACAAATGGCGTGTCACACCACCTCCAACTTTAGTGAAAACTAGAGATAAGTTAGCTTTCACAGATTTGAAAAGTATGGCATACTAGGAATGAAATGCTTCTGAAGGTTTCAAAGCCATGAAGGTAGCACTTTCGACCTACACTATGATATAACCACAAAAGTAAAAGCGTTCAGCGAAGAGTTACTCTGATTGGACACTAGTAACTAGTGTGACGTGTCTAGTACTTTCTCTAGTGCAGACTGAATTCTATCAGTCAGGTTTACAATGTGGCCACTTTTCTAGGTAGCTCGCCATCATGATGCACATTGACTTGATGATATTGGATAGTTGGAGGCAATCGGCAGGAAGCCTTGGACCTAGGTTTTGTGCTAGTTAGCACTCGTCAGCAAGGCCTACCTGTAACCTTGGATGAACTCATGTCTCTTCTGAGATTCGAAACAGCGTCACCCAGTGCTGCAGTCAGAAACGTTACCACTGAGCTATTCGGGTGATACCATTCCCAAGCTGTACAATCGCATGTATGTACTAATATTTCTTAGCAACAAAAGGAATATCTCCAAAGATGTGTCATTAGAGTTGTAAATTTTTGATAACAAATTGCGTAATGTAGAAAGAGTTAATCGGGTAGAAACTAGAATAAAATTAAATAAGTAAGTTGAGTGACATAACATAATTGACATGGTTCAGTAGAATTCAACCGAAATTTGAACGAGAGTCAAGTTAACAACAGTGATAATAAAGGGTAGATATTTAATATCATATCAAGTTGAAAATTATTATCTCCTTCGTAACTATGTGGAATTAATTAAATAATAATTTTATCCATGTAAACTAATGTATACAAATGCGATTGTATGGCTTTTGAGAATGAAATCAGCGAAAAGATATCTTTGCTGAACCTCTTGTTCTTTTTCCTCTGGTGTCCCGATGGGTGTTTTCCACGATTTGGAAGAAAATAATACAGCCAATAAACAAAAAACAAAAATTATGTATTTAGTGTTAAGATAGATCAGGTCTGTATACTTCTATCGTGGAGTTCATTTGTAAAACTGCATTCAAGTGGATAGTTCTTAAATACAAGAAGATTGACAGATTGTGAACAGACTTCAAAAAGCAGCCAAAAGTGCCTCTGCTTGTTACACTGAAAATACAGTTTTAAACATTCCACCTATAGGGTATAAATTTAACCATAACAACTGACTCTGAATCGAATCTGTCCCCTGCTCTCCTCCTCGATAAGGTTTAAAACTCAGGAAATACAGAAGCAGGGTGTGAAACCCAAGTTAATAATCTTTGGAAACAACCCTTAAATGAGTATGAGTCTTTAAATAACTTGATTAGAGAAGAAACAAGCATGAGAATAATTTGTCAGACAAAAATGGCAAAAAAATTGTCGAATAATTGCCAATGACAATGGTTAGAAAAAGTGGGTGAATTTCGGTTATACTGGAAACTTTTTCCCATTCCGATCATTATTTGACCGAAAATTACCCAATATTTCCCTGTGATTTAACCACTACTTTTAAATGTTGACCGTTTAGGCAGCATTCTCAAATTCTGAACATTATTTATCAACTATTTACCTATTGCATTACCATTCTTACCATTTTCCCAAAATCGTGCCCATTTTAACTATTAATTAACCATTCTCTCATTTTCGTCTGAGTGACTATAATCTTGTAATCAAAGTTTCATTAAGAGTAAATGAAGGTTACAAGTTCCAAAAAATGCTAACTGATAAATAGGTGCAAGTTATGAATGAATTAGTCACTTCATTCTTAACATAGTGAATAAAAAATCAACATACTTCGGATTAGCAGGAACCCATTCACTTTCTTGTGCACAAATAACATCCGAAGCAGCCGAGTTGCGGTCGTGTGACGTAAAATATAAATTGTTTGCATCTTGAGAGTTATCCTTTCTGTGTACACAAATCTCTTCAAAACCACGGTTAGAAGAACATGAATTATTTTGAACACCGCCGTGTGTGATCGCTGCAGAGATAGTACTCACAGGACGTTGCTCATAAAGATTTATCACTGAAGCAAAACTGTTATGGTCCACAGACGATTCAGAATCACTATTTTCCATAGTTAGCAGATGATTGCGCGATAAATGATCAAATATACATAAATGGCCCTTGAAAAAACATTCAAGGTGACACTTGGATACTTGAAACAAACAAAACGTTTCTATTTTTGTAATCTAGTAACTTTCTGATAAAGCATTCATAATAACTTTGCGTTCATGTATACTTGATGAATATATACCTTATGCAGGGTTTTTAAGGGCCCGATAAAACACTTCTCCAACATCCGTCACTTTTCATGGGTTAGGGGACACATTGAAGTCCTACAGTATTGATCGGATTCGTTCGCACATGCTCTTGCAATTCCGCTAGCCATGATATATAACTTGCTTATTGCCAAATAACATGTGACTGCTCTTCCGAGGGGGCGAATTACTTATGGAGACTTCAAGCCATAAAAAAGCAAATGCGATTTCACTGATACAGCCAGTTATGACAGATTTATCAGCATATTGGATACACCCAGATGGACGTTTTTCTTACAGGAAGTGAAAAGTTACTATACCACACAAATCCTCTGTTGAGTCTTCATGGGGCGATTGCGATTTTCTGTAGCACAGAATGTCACTTTCTTAAGCTTACACTACACTTAATGCAATACTTTAAAAAAACATCACCTGCTGTAACCATAATTGATGCGTCATACCATTAGCGATAAACTGGATTACTGATGGTTTCTAGACAATACTATACATCTACTTCATAGATTAAAAACTGACACTGCTACTGAACCACAACAAATTTTAGGTTAAGCCGCAAGGCAAATGACGTGGAAAAACTGACTTCCAGCTTTATTTCATTTTACCACTTCATTTGCCAAAATTTAAAATCGAAGAGTTATTTTCTATTATCGGCGGCTGGAAAGAAAGATATAAATACTGACATTAGCCAGTCACACTAGTCGTAGTAGTAGTGTAACGACAGAAGATAAAGGCCAGGCAACAGATCGTATGCTGAGAAAATCAGCACATATTTATAGATTTTTATGGACATTATTATTCGTTATTGTTAGTCGAGAAGCAACGTCTTCTGATTGGTTGCATTCCTGCTGAAGGTTATTCTGTCATCTCTTTGTGGCTGTTTCTTAGGCAGTCCGGTGATATATCTGCGAATCACATCCGCCCACGCTAAGTCTGCTGTGATTGGTTGTTGAGTTAGTCTTTGTTCTTGTTTTTTCTCATGACCAAGATTTGGGACGTAAACACTGACGTAAATTGCTGTCTACCGATTTTGGCCGGCAGACAGCTCTCATCACAGTAGGAGGTTAGAAGCACTTTGGTGCAGGTGCTTAAGTGGAACATAAGGGATGCAGAAAGTTCAATAATTGTTAGTTTATGATTTACAAAGGGTTCGGAAACTCATAAAATTCCGAAGTCACTGGTAAGCACAGATAAGTTGTGACGTTAGCAGTCATATGAGACCAACTTTTAACTGATCAACAGATTTCATAACTCAGGGGGTTCCGATATTCATCACATGTGCTAACAATATTCCGAATATCTGCAGAGTGTAGGTTCTAGTGATCCCAACACCCCATATGAGTAACACTAAAGTAGAGGATAGCATCACTCTATCAATGCCCTTGTCGAAGTCAGTATCTTTAAAAAGAGAAGAAGATGATAGAAAGCCTCTGGAGAGGTACAGAAGTATATAATACGTGTTACTAATTCAAAATAAACAACGATTAGTTTAAATTTATTAGTAAAAAAGGAGTAATTGTACTTACTTGTATTGCATAATCATAGGGATACGTTCGGAAAAAGGAGTTAGACCCAAGAATTGAAGTGCATAAAACATGTAGAAGAAAAGTGACCGTTCAATAAAATAATGATATCTGCTGTTTTTCTGACACATAGCGAAGTGTCTATCTGAAGTAGCGAACTCATACCATGTACTTGCATTCAGGGAGTTAATGTTTAAACTCAGGCTATCAGGAAGTCTTCAACCATCTTTTATTTATTCATCTGTTTTGTGCAAGTCATTCAAACTCAGGAGCCTTGGCAATAGAGCGCTGCCCCCTCAAATAAAGGTGGTTCTCATATGCCCGCCATCATATCCGCTGAATATTAGTCACCACCATTCCACCTTCTAATATGCAAAACCCTGGCGGAATGACCCCTTTTATTTCTATTTCTATGCCATGCAGACTTTTACATTCATTTGTCAACTCTACAAGAGTCATGGCATGAATGACTATTTTCAGAAGACTATCATGTGTGTCTCATCTGTTACAGCATTTTGAAGAAAAATGATAAAAATACTAGGAAATTAGACGTTCATAGTCTACCTTTTAGATATTAATGAATGAAAATACGAAATACACTGCACAATGGTGCAGCACTGTGCATATAGAAACAGTAGTAAGTTGTAATATATGGTTCGGAAAAATTTGACTACATAGGATTATAGTTATAGAAGAGTGAGATAAGATACGTTAATATTTAAGGCTCACCGTCTAGTTAGGTTGATTATTTAGACTATCACCATTTGGGCGGAAATTCGCGTAGATACAGGCAGTATTTACGTACATCATTAGGCAGTACCCAGAGACATTTTAATGCCAGTCACCTTCAGGTGATTCACTACTGAAACTTGAGACTGAACTCTTAGCGCACTGAAATGCTAATAATACAATGTTATTAGGGACATATGCGAAAATATACGATTAAATAAATAAATAAAAAACTGAACGTGAATGGGTGACTTGGGTTGTGAGAACAGTCGTATTAAAAGTGGAGTTAAAGATAGAGTACACAGATTTCGGGATCTGACAGTGAGGGTCAGAGGTGTGTCGTATAAGAGCTCTACTTTTTAGTTTGTCACATACCGCTTCTAGCCCGCTGTGAATTAAATATTTGTCCAGCAGTGATGAGATGATTTTTAGAGTTGAACTAATTCTAATTTCATTTGGAAGCCGGTTCCAAACACAACAGTATTTCACAGTGAATGAATTGGATCTGCATTTTATGCGACAACGAGGCATATTAAGAATGAAGATTTATTTCTGAATATATTTCTTAGATGAGCCAAAAGTAAAGTCATTGTGGGTAAAATATATATATCAGCCCTCTCTAGTACCACTCTGTTACTGTTTATTAATAACATTGTTTTTCATACATATTTTATACAAAAACACTTTATAGCCTTTCCACTAGTTCCTGTCCATTTTACACGAGATTATTGATTATTCACTATCTCACACTTATTACGTCATGCCAACTTCTGTCTCCTTTCTAACTTACAATTAGTCATCCCTTCTTACACCTTACATTATGTAATACAATTTTCCAAGGACAAAATTTACCAGTATCTGATTGGTCTAAAGATTTCTTTGTTAATTATAATTACGATTGTACAGCTAATGAAAATGAATCGTCGAAAAGAAAATTTTCTTCGCTGTTTGTGCCTCCCTCTAGTAATCCTAAATGTAATTTTTGGGTTGAACTTCAGTCGTCTGATCCATAAGAATTCCAAGCCAAACATGTTGCATCCTCCATAGTACTAGTCGTCTCGTACACGCCCTTCATAGACTTTCTAATTTGCTGCTGCCTTTTATGGAGACACTGTCCATGATGGAGGACAAAATTCAAGAAGGGACCTTATGAATAACTTGTGCAGCAGAATTTTAGATTCACACGCCTTAAAGTTTCAGAATAAAAACCCAAGGAGCTTTCCGACTTTTGATACCTGTAATTTAACGTATTCTGTGAGGCTGAATTCTGGTGACTATTTCAAACCCAAACCTCTTGTAAGAGGCAGTCAGGGAATATGTTCGTTGTATAGGGAGACGGAGAGTTCCGGATAGAAATGTTTTCGGGGCGCAGCACTCAGCACTTTTTGACGTTAAACTTCATTTTCCACTTGTTACACAATAAATGGAAGCTATCAATATCATCCTGAATCCTATCAAATAGACACACGTAATGCCTGAGCGAAATATACCTTATTTTGATATCATCAGCAAAAAGAGAAGGTCTGCCATGCCTAATAACGTCGCGAATGTCATCAAAATATAACAGAAATAATAGTAGACCTATGACACTTGTATAACCACTTGTTATCCGAACGTTGTTGGATGTGTGGGGACCTAACCTGACCATTTGCATTTGATTGCTTAGAAACGAACTCAGCCAGTTTAACAACGAACCTTAGATCACATAAGACTGAACTCTTGATATTAACCGTCAGTTGCTCACAGTGTCAGAGGCCTTACTGAGATCTACGTATACAATAACTGTGATCATACTGGAATCCTTAAGCTGTGAAATGTGATTGAAAAATTGCAAATGGCATGCCGTGCAAGAACTTGGCTCCATGAAACCATGTTGCTAAGGTATGTAAGAAATGTAAGTTTCTTTTGAGAGAGAAAGTCAAAAATGGCACTTTTCGCAATCTTTTCCAGAACCCTTGAAATAATGGAAGTTAGTTTTATGGGTATGCAAATCATGACACTTGAGCGAGTGCTTGACTTGTACCTAGGAGCAATGTGCATGGTTTTCCATGCATCTGGATATATCGCGGTTGCCAGAGAGGTAGAATACACTTTGAGAAGAACAGTGATAACAGTGATAATAATAATAATATTAATGACGACACCAACAATAAAGAATCTAAATCATCAGTAGTAATTCCATATAAGGAAGGAACCTCGGAAGCCTTACGCAGAATTCTTAACAAGGCAGGAATAAAAACGGCATTCAAACCCACAAACTCAATTAGAAACAAGCTTTGTCGGTTAAAGGATCCTGTGGAGCCTTTAAAACAAAACAATTTAGTTTATCTAATACCCTGCAATGATTGTCAGGTCAAATACATAGGTCAAACTAGTAGAACAGGGGCAGTCAGACTAGCTGAACATAAAACTTAGCAAAATCTAGATTGGTTGATCCAAATAAGATAAGAAATCTAGAGAATAGTTCAGCTATAGCACTACATGCAGTCACACACAACCATACAATAGGATGGGATAGGATGACAGTTTTAAAATCTAATGTCACAGGGTATAGGGAGAGATTGATAACAGAAGCT